TGCAGGTTAGAGACACAGACGCATAAGTGGTATAGAATCTTACTAACACCAGAACATTGTCTCATGGATAGTGGTGGGCTGACCAAACTGTCAGGGTAGAGGAAGTGTGGCATGGAGGGGTGGGTGTGGCAGGGAGCTCAGTGAGGAGGGGGTGCGCTTCAAGATGACTCAGAGTGGCAGCAGAATGTGGAGTAAATGAAGAAGCAACTGAAGCAAGAGACCAACAGACAGCGCTTGGTGACTAATGAGATATGGGGAAGGGAGGCAGAGGAAGGGAGAAGGATGGAGAGCCCAGATGGCGCCCCGATTTCCAACTCCAGTATCTGCAAAATGACCACGTTCCTTATAAAATTGCACTGTCAATGAGATTTCTGCCATTCTGCTGTTTCCTGCTGTCCTTGAGACAGAAGAAAATGACTTTGAGGAGAACTGACTCCTTCCATGTGTCCCAGCTAATCCAACAATGGTAGCAAGAACCAGATGACATGTGACTGGGACAGACTTGTACACTGGAGCAGAGGCAAGCTAGGGCTGAAACCTCCTACAGTGGGTGGTTTGTGACAGAACTCTAGCCTTGGGTGCCCAAGAAAGCCCTCCCAATTATTTACTGTGTCCACTCCCCTCCACAGATAAGGGAACCCAGGCCTCTCAATAGAGTAATATCTCTAAGGTCACATGGCCAGAGTATCAAGTTAGGACTAGGAGTTGACTTGGTGTCTTAATAATCCAATACGCCTAATTTTGGTACTGGTTACTTAGTGGTGTGTGGGATATGCATACATATGTCTTCTTGAGGCATGAGCCCTGTGCCCATCTCTCTTTAGACAAGATCTCATTTAACCCACACTGACCTTATTTATCCTAGGCTGACCTCAAACTCCCTAGCTAAGGGTGAACTTGAACTCCTGATCTTGCTGCCACTATCTCCCAAGTGCTAGGATCACAGATGTGAATCACCATGTCCCATGTGTGTGGTTCTGGGGATCAAACCTAGGGCTTTGTGAATTCTAGGCGAGCATTCCTCCAACTGAGCTATGCCCTCAGCCCAGAAATGAGACGTTTCTTGAAACATCTTCTCTATGGAGTTACCATAAGGTATATTTTATCAATTTCTCAGATAATGGCTGTAGCAATAATAAACTTGGGGTGAGTGTTTTTTGTTTGTTTGTTTAAAATCCTGCATTTATTTGTGACTTCCTATAGTTACCTCATGGCTTCATTTCTGCCCAGACCATCTTAGTGTTTATTTGGGGTAAATTATCTTTGTCAAGGGCTGAGATTTGTCATTCTCCCAGCCACTTCTGTACCACTAAGTAACCCTGAAAAGACATGAAACACATCTGATACTTTTCTCATTTCAAGCAAAGTTAATAGATTTCATAATCTGCAAGCTAGCTGGAGTGAGGGAGAAAAAAGGAAGCACATAATATTAAGAACTCAATAAATATCTAAGTGGAAGTAAGAGGCAGGAGGTGGATAAGAAAGAGAAGAATGACCTTGACTGGAAGGGGCAGGTGTTCCATGAATAAAGAACAAGATGAAGTCGCATTCTGCTCCCCTACCAGGGTAGTTCTTAGGAATTCCCCTTGCCTTCCTCAATGGGCTGGTCCCAGGAAGGCCTTGAACGACACGACTTGTCAATCTCAACAAGTTGCACCTAACTGGAAAAACTCACTGGTACTGCGTTTTCTGGCCAAAACCCTTATGCTGTGTTATGCCAGTCTCAGAGGCCATTACACTGTTTGTCAATGTCCACTGCACAGCTTAAAACAACCACACAACAAAACCCACAGAGAAGACGATAGAGCCTCCTCTTGTCTCCAGGGAAACCCACAATCCATTTTGGACATTTCTTTTCCTTACTCACAAATTCCTCCTCTGAAAGGAGCCATCTGGCAATGTTTCCATTTGTCCCAAGGGTCTATATTGCTCAGGGACACCATTCAGAGTGTTGTTACTTTCACACTGCTCCAGAGGCCAGGGGATGGCATAAGCCAGGGTGCTAAATATCCTTCATTCTCTGAGGTAGGACAAGCAGATGAATCTCTAAGAGGAGGCATTGGCATATGGAACCCTCCACAGGACAAGAGGTCTATTTGTTTGTTGTTCTAGGAAACCAACAAGAGGACATGTATTTCAGCACAAACAGAAAAAAACCCAGCCTGCCTCAAAAATGGATGACTGCCCAGCCAGTAAGGGAAGGCGGAAACAGACAGTGAGGGAAAAGAGCTGGGTTGTCCCAAAGATAGCAGGGATGGTTGGAAGGCCATGGACCAACACAAGTGCCATGACCACCCCTGGCAAACTAGTCAACCACTGATCGTAGATGTCTCCCCACCTGCTGAAGGTTGTGCCGGCAATGTGCGAGAGTTCTCGTTTTGGAAGGAAACGGGAGTAAGCAAAGTATTTCTGAGGCCACTGAATTCCTTGGAGGGGGGTGTCTGTGTGTGTGTAAGTGTGTGTGTGGTGTGTCTGTGTGTAAATGTGTGTGTAAGTGTGTGTGTGTGGTGTGTGTCTGTGTGTAAGTGTGTGTGTGGTGTGTGTCTGTGTGTAAGTGTGTGTGTGTCTGTGTGTAAGTGTGTGTGTCTGTGTGTCTGTGTGTAAGTGTGTGTGTGGTATGTGTCTGTGTGTAAGTGTGTGTGTGGTATGTGTCTGTGTGTAAGTGTGTGTGTGGTGTGTGTCTGTGTGTAAGTGTGTGTGTAAGTGTGTCTGTGTGTAAGTGTGTGTGTGGTGTGTCTGTGTGTAAGTGTGTGTGTAAGTGTGTGTGTGGTGTGTGTCTTGTGTAAGTGTGTATCTCTGTGTGTGTCTGTGTGTAAGTGTGTGTGTGTCTCTGTGTGTGTATCTGTGTGTCTGTGTGTATGTGTGTGTCTCTGTGTGTGTCTGTGTGTAAGTGTGTGTGTGTAAGTGTATCTGTGTCTGTGTCTGTGTGTAAGTGTGTGTGTGGTGTGTGTCTGTGTGTAAGTGTGTGTGTGTGGTGTGTGTCTGTGTGTAAGTGTGTGTCTCTGTGTGTCTCTGTGTGTGTCTGTGTGTAAGTGTGTGTGTGTCTCTGTGTGTGTGTGTCTGTGTGTATGTGTGTGTCTGTGTGGTGTGTGTGTCTATGTCTGTGTGTCTCTGTGTGTCTCTGTCTCTGTGTATATGTGTATGTATCTGTGTCTATGTGTCTGTGTGTATCTCTATGTGCATGTCTGTAGTGTGTGTGGCTGTTTGTGGTTGATGCAGGGGTCTACTGTCTGCACCTTCACTTCACAGGGCAAGCCCTGTTCCTGCTGTTGCTGTTGCAATTGCTAAAATATCCTGAAACCTCTGTGCTGAGTTATGAGAAATTTCTGTAATTTTTAGCTTCTGAACTTTCAGTCTCCTAGCCTCCATTTCTCAGACCAATTTGCCAGTTCTCTACTGGAGAGACAGCAACTTATGCTAAGAAGATTTAGACAGAATGAGAGGCCATGTAAACAAGCTATTAGTGTAATGTCTGCAATGCTATGAAAAATACAGTCAGCTACAGGACATGGCACATCCACAGGTATCCTTCATGCTGAGTGATACTTCATACCAACATTGAGGAATAGGCCATATAGGTTTGGTGCTGATGCAGCTCCATCCCTGACCAAACCAAGGACATAGTGCATCAGATGCAGAGATGCTGGACCTGCATTTTGTTGGTACTGTGACTGGAATAGTTCACCATATATTTTTCAGAGGACACCGTGTTATCCCATGGAACATTCTAGAAGAAGCTCCATCTTGACATGACTTGGTGTTCTGGTCTGAAATTGATTCCAAGCACAACCACTTTCAAATAAAATCCATCTGCAGACAGAGCTTCCTGAACAGAAATAGGCTCCGACATTCAGGAGGCTTGGCTGAGGAGTTGGGATGCCTCTCAACAAAAACAAGAAGAGCCTGATGTCTGAGCCCTTTGCTGGGCATCAGCCTTCTTCTGAGATGGCAAGCCCGTTTGCCCGCATTCTTCAAAAAGAGGAATGGCCTTTAAGCCGGTGGTTCATACCTGTGATCCCAGCACCGTGGAAGCTGAGGGAGGAAGATTGTGTGACGCTGAGGCCAACCTGGGCTACATAATGAGATCTGAGACAGCTGGGACTACAGAGGGAGACTTTGTTTCAAAAGCAACAAGAAAGAAAAATAGAAATAGTCTTTAGATATATTTGAGCGACTAGAGACAGGCTGGAACTTTCCTAAAGGTGAAACTAGTGGTCTGGATTGTAGTGGACAAATGTCCTCTTTAAGAGTTTCCAATTCAAAGTACGATTTTATACAGCCTATTTAAGTTTTCCGTCTTCTAAGACACATTAAAAAATTCTGTTTCCTCTGGTCCATTTCCTTCTTTTTCACTTCTAACACACTTGACTCTTTCCAAGATACTGAAATAAAAGTTATATATTAATCTCTGGGCTTTCCATCAATAATTTCTGAGGCCATCTTAAAGAGACACCCTATAAAAGGCGTGAAGTTGAAGAACCATGAAAACCATCAAAACCAACCTTTGATTTTACCCCTGCACGACGCAAGACCCTGGAAGGAGAAGCGATTTGAGGGGACAGCAGCCCACCACCATCTGATGATAGGTGAGGACTCTGCTTACCTCTGGTGACTCCTTTCAAAAAGTAAGTCTTTTAAGATTTTGATCCCCCAAATTAATGTTGCTTAAGCACCCTAAATACAAAAATGAGTCCATTGATCCTACATATATGGTAGAAGGGAAGGGAGGAAGTAAACCATGCTGAGCAAATGAATAATGGTGAGACTCGTTTAATTAGACCTAGTTAGACGATCAATTCAGACCCAGCATGCACAGGGCTTGGAGTTGCACCTTCTGGGGCTAAAGCAGGCTGCAAATTGAGGCTGGAAAGTGGGAAGGGGTAACTTTGCCTACTCAGCGATATTGCATCAATACCCTGTCATCCGATAGCTTCCTTGTTGCATCTGCCTGGAGTCACAGGGTGTTCCCTGCTGAGCCTGACTGTGTCCTCTAAGTCACTTCAGCCTCTCAAAATCCTTCCCTCTGGGCCTTTCCCATAAGCACATTCTTACAGGAGCATATAAAAGACCCATGCATCTCAGCAGAACAGTTCTCTAGCTGCCACGGGAGGCCAAGGCACATGGCAGGTAAGACAAGTTAACCTTTCCTGGTTCCTGCAAAGTGGATGATGAAACCTCATGAGGACTGGAGAACGTGTAGTCCTAGATTTAGACTTGTCTTCCTGGGGCATTTTCTGGTGCCAGATTTACCTACCGATTGGCAACTTCTTCCTGTGGGTTGTAGGGGTGACTAAATCCGCTGCAGGGCAAGGAGCCTTTTCTGCACAGGAAACCAGGCAGAGTCATAAACTGACAGGTCTAGAAGGTTCCCTGAACCTTTCTCATCTGTGCTGTATGGAAACTGAGGCCCAAGACAGGAGTCTGGGGTAGCTCAGAAAGTCGGGAGACAGTACTGAATGTGATGTTCTGTGGACAGCTGTGAAATGATCGCCGTCCTCTGTAGCAAGATGATGTCATGTTTCCGAGAGGGGGGTCTCTAAGCCAGCGCTCTTGGATCTTCATCTTCATGCCTGCTGGCTGCAGCAGATCTGAATATCTGGTCAGCCCTGACGGTTTAGTCCCTGCTGTTTTAAACATTCTGGGGTCCCTCTGGTCTCTACCAGGTACCTGAAGTGTAACAGTATTAGATGGGCTTCCTTTGGGGAGGGTTGAATTGCATTGCTTTTTATGTAACTAGCTATATTCAGCACATACCCAGTATCTCACCTCCAGCTAGGCAAAGGCTGCTGGAGCTTTTCTGCCACGGAGAGCTTGAGAAAAGCCGCTGAGAATATAGAAGGAAAATAAACTCAATCTCAAACTCAGTTTCTCATACTGGCCTGTCACAGCCTGCTTCTGACACAAGGTCTGGGAGAATTCCCCACCCACAAGCAAGTAGCTGGATGCCAGCTGGGTGTTCCTAATCCCAGTCAGTTCTGACGGTCTCTACCTGGGGATATCATCAGATCTCACAGGTGGAGAGCTCGTCCCCAAGGCTGAACGCTGATTTCAGACTCCAGTCACAAGCTCCAGGTGGCTCTGCCTGTGCTTCTGACTGTGTCCCCAGGATGCCTCCTCAAATTTGATCATCTTGCTGGAGATGCTCAGTAACTCAAGGGAACACTTGGTTATTTCAAGGGACACAGATGAAAGAGCGCTCAGAGCAAGTAAGTATTGAGAAGGTGCATGAAGCGACTCTGCTCTCTCTGGGCACACCGCCTTCCAGCAACTTCCACATGTACAAGCATCTGGAAGCCATTGGGAGTTTTATGGAGATCTTTATAGCATAAGTACAATATAAGCCTAGACAGCCGGCTAGACCTACTACCAATAGGCTGAGCGGGGGAATCCCAGCAAGGCTTGTCTGTTGAGATTCTTCTTAGCTTCTTAGAGCAGTGTTCTTCCCACCCTCCCAGACACAGGGCAGGATCCCTTCTGAGACAGGAGGGTTAGGCTCCATCATCAGATTTCACGGTCAGTGTCAATACAGAAAGATGCGTGGGTGGCAACTAGAGAGTTTCTACAATGTTCCTCAGAAAACACAGCAACAGTTTCTATATCCTAATTTAGAGAGGGAGTTTATGAGCCAGGAACTTCTGTGAATGAAAATCTCACGCGCGCACGTGTGTGTGTGTGTGTGTGTGTGTGTGTGCATGTACATGTGCATGCATGTGTGATCAAATATCAAATGAGATATGTAATATGTGAAACAGAGATACATATCATCTATCATATAAAATTGCAGCTGTCTCCTCTTTATTCTGGAGCTGTCTGAAAGGTCAAATCGTGTTCTTCCTGGAGATGGTTATTGGTTTTCCAGATGGCTCTTTCCACCATCAACCTCAACAAGGTTCTTGCCATTGGTGGAAATGAATTCTACAATTCCTTCCCACTCAGTCTTCCAATCTCCTTGGTGACTTGCAAATGTGAGGGTCAAACTCTGGAAGGTCACAGTACTCGTTGCAGTGTGGTCTTCAGAGCCAAACAATTGCCTGTGGCCTTGCTGGAGGTGTAGACACTGGCCCCCCTGCCACCTCCTAAGCCATAGTCTGTATTTTTCCAAGCTCATTAGCAGATTCTTACGCATGCTACAGTATGAGAAATTGGCTAAGAGACTGTCAGCACTTTGACCCCATGCAACCTCCAGATGCCAAGCTTCTCCACTGTCACTCACTCAGCATGTGCTCAGTGCTATTCTGTACCAATGCTATGCTTAGACACACAAGAAGCCAAAAGAACTAAATAAGGCATTGACTTCCAGGAACTCATGGTCTCATATGAAAACAGACATGAAAAGATATGAACAAAACACTCAGGTGGGACAAGAGGGGAATGACCTAACTTTTCCCAGAGAAATCTGATAAGCTTCATAAAGGAGGAGACATCTGGCTGGGGTGTTGAGGCAGAAAGGACACTGTCTGAGTAGAGGCTTGGGGTTGTGTCCCCCTGCCCCCGACACACACACACACACACACACACACACACACACACACACACACACAGGGGAAAAAGAAGCATTGGGTCTCTCTTCAGAGCATGCTGAGTCTCAGGGCAAGATGAAGACTGAGGGGTCTGGGACATGCCCAAACTGAACACGAGGCCAAGGATGCAGGTAAACACCTTAGATAGCACAGAAACCCAATACTCTGCATGCTTTACCCAGGCTGCATTGGGCTACAGTCTTTCCACGCTGTTTGCACACCTGTTTTCCATGTTATGACCCCATATTTGCCTGGCTCTGCTTTTAGCCACACACCCTTCCTCCACACCAACCAGGAACCTCGGCCATGGCACGGAGAATAATTCAGCTTTGGCCTTGAATTCTTTCTTCCTCTTCCTAGTAAAGAAAGTATGTGTGTGCCTCAAAAGAAATGAGTAGCTAGGTTAACTAATCAGGTATGGTGGTTGCTCAGGCTGGAAGGAGGAGGAAATGGGAGGGTGGGTGTTCAATAGGTCCAGAGCCTCGACTTTACAAGATTCGAACATTCAACGTTTCTGTGTTGTGTGGTTTACATTGTAATGGTGGAGACATGTATACTGTTTTTATAAACACTGTTAAAAACAAAAACACCTCAGCAACACTGTAAAATCACATTTTGTTGACTCAACAGATTCTGTGAGAGTCCTGTAGTCACAAAGAAACACTAACAGAAAGGTGTGGGGCAGACATCTTCGTGCTCAGGCTGAGACAGGAGGATTATGAGTTCAAGGCCAGCCTGGGCTACAGAGCGAGTTCCAGGACACCTGGACCTACACAGAGAAAACCTGTTTTGAAAAAAGTCTTGGCCAGAGAGATATTTATTCATATCTTCCCGTTTCTCTAAAGTTATCTTATGAAAGATACATTGAAAAAGGTAGGGGGAGGCCTTGGAGGGCCAGGCACGCTGATAAATCATAGGACACTTGCCTAATGTGGACAAGCCCCGAGTCACCAGCAGGAGGGAGAGGGAGTGGGGAGAGAAGAAATCAAGAAAGGAATGGAGGAAGAGGAGACAAAACTGCTCAAATTTTAGTCTGGTGATTTAGGCTTAGAGTGAGAAGTCATGATGAGGACGTCAGTGTAGGAACTGAGGCTCTGCAGGCGGCCCCAGACACAGCTGTGGGCCCAGGGAAACTCAGGTTTGTCCCAACCTTCTTCCATATGTTCCCACCAAGTTGATTTTTTTTGAGGGAGGGGAAAGCCTGGTGGAAATTTTGAGGAATGGTGTGGTGTCCTCTCCCAGCCCACGCCCTGTGCCACCCAAGAGGAGCCTGGCTAGCAGGAACCAAGCTCTCTGGAGAAGAAGGGAGGCTTGGAAACATTTCTCCTAACTGTGACATAACCAGCCCGGGCTCCCCGGGCATAATGGGACATCCTAGGTCATTTGACCCTGTCCCCTTACTGGCAGGCCAGTGGCCCAGTGTTAAGTAATTTTCCCAGGCTCCAGGTGCTGGGTGGGGCGACCACAGAGTAGAACTCAGGGCCTCGGACCCTCAAGCTTCTTTTCCCTCATCTTCCTGGCTCTCCCAGTCTGTGCACACCATGAGTGCGCGTGGCCACGGCATCTGGTTTCACCCTGGCTTTCCTATTTTCTGAGATTCCATCTCTTTCCGTGGGGCCCAGTGAAGCTCCTAGTATGACCCTGGTCTCTTTTCAGCAATGAAAGTCCTTCTGCGCCTCCCAGCCCTCCTGGCTTCCCTGACCTTGCTCCAGATGGCAGCATCTACCAGAAACGGTAAGTGCCATACTGTATTCACTTCTTGGAATAAGGCTGGGACAAAAGCACTAGAAGCTGTGTGGCTGGGGACAATATAGGTTTAGTCACACACCCAGAAGGCTAGAGATCCAAGGTGAAGGTAATGGAAGCGCCATGTTCCTCCCGAAGGCTCTAAGGGGCTCCCTTGTCTGTTCCAGCTTCTGATGGCTCCAGACATCTTCAGTTTCCTTGGCTTGTAACCCTGTCTCTATGTGTCCTCTCTGTGTATCTTTTCCCACCATTCACTGAACTTTGGGTTCACGATCATTAGCATGACCTCATCTGAATTAATCATATCTGTAGAGACTATTTGGAAATAAGGTCACACGCTGAACCTTCCAACCAGACACAGTTTAACCCACGGTACTCTCCTTGAAGGGAATAGATGCTGCCTCTTGTACTCCATACCCCAACCTGAGGCGATCAAGGAGCACATCTTTCCTTTAGTATCCTCACGTTCCTTGCTCCAGCGTCCTGGCTATTGGGTAAATTCTGAGAGGCTTGCTTAAGGACCCACAAGACCATCTCACCAGAAACCAGGAAGCCCAAGCTGAGTGGTCACACTGGACATCCTCTTCCTGGGCACTCCCAGGAATTTTGACATCTTGCTGAAGAGCAGACTGGACTCTTCCCACTCTGTGTCTCCTTCTTTTAAGGATATTGTTCTCAATCTGCAAGTCAAGACCCCTTTGAGGGGTTGAATGACCCTTTCCCAAGTGTCACCTAAGACCATGGGAAATATCAGATATTGACATTATGATTCATAAACAATATCAAAATTACAGTCATGAAGTAGCACTGAAAATAATTTTATGGCTGGGAAGTCATTAGGGAGGTTGATAACCACTGTTTTAGGGAGCCTTGGAAAGTGTCCTTAGTTCCCTACCTGCACTGGTTTGAGATATAAGATGATGGCTGAGAGGAAAGCAGAAGTAAGGGGAACTCAGGAGTGATACGTGATATCCTGCTTCCTACTTTTGCCTCCCCAAGCTACAAGAACTGCCACCATCCGTGAAACAGTGGATGAGGTCAAGGTCCAGGTCAACAAGGCCTTCCTGGATTCCCGGGACAGGTAAGTGAGACATGCAGACATGTGTGTGAACTCCCTTTCCAGGCGACTGACAAGTGCACCTAGACCAGCCCCAACAAGCCAGGGAGCCAAAGGAATTATAAAACTTGCCCTTCCACCTCCACCCCCACCACGTAGGTAGCAAATAGGAACAACAGCTTCCAAGTCCCCAAATCCCAGCTTCTAATGGTCTTGAGAGGACACCCAGTGAAACTCCAAAAGGACTTCCCTCCTTGTGGCCCCGGGTTTCCTTTGATTATGCCTGCCAGACTCAGGAAGTTTTTAATTTAACTAATGTACTTGGGTCAGGCGCTCCAGAAACAGAACCACAAGCACGGAGTCCGTGCAGGTAGTTTACCAGAGATGTGTCCTTGAGGAAGTTGCCACATAATACAAATTTAAATGAGGACACAGTTTGCAGTGTGGCCTCAACCTGGCCAACCCGCCACCACCCAGAGAGACCTAGAGTGTATGGTGTACTGTGGAGTCTGCCCCACCTTGGAGCAAGAGGGTATAGCTTTCACATACCCACATAAGGCTGATGTGGCCCAGACTTGGGGCTCCAATGGCAAGAGTTAAGTATGCTGGTGCTGTTACTGGGAACCGCTAACCAGGCAGCCACAAGGGCTCAGGAGCAAGTGTCTAATGAGGCTGCAGCAGTGATCCTTTGGGGGCTGCACCCACAGCAGCTGGACAAACCCTCCTGATGGATCTGAGGCACCTGAGCAGCAGATCAAACCACCATCTACCCTGTGAAGGGGCTGGAGCTCATGAAACCAGCAATTCGGACCAGTTCCTTCCCTCAGGAAGTCTACCTTCCACCAGTAAGGGGCAAAGAGAGCTGCGGATGTAGCTCAGTGCCACAGTGACAGAGTCCTAGCCAAGCAAGTGCAAAGCTGTGGGTTCAATCCCCAGTCGGGGTGGGGGGAGGGAGGATGGCCATAGCAGTGCGTAGAAGACGTCTTCAATCCTTCATAGTTCTGTCTCTCAGCCTCATCGCTGGGTGAGCTCTCTAGTCCATGATTTTTGTGGGTGACTTTTAGATTGCTTTTAGTCCCCAGGAACTGTGTCATTTCACAAGTTCAAAGGTCAGCCTAAGGAGTTGGCTTCCTTGACTCTGAAGTGCTTGGGCTCTGCGGTGACAAGAGGGAGCCCAGAGGTCCTCTCCCTTGTTCAGGACTCCCCCCACCCACTGTCCTTGGGGGCTGAGTGGAGAGAGGAGCAGGGAAGCCAGGGATGACAAATCCACTAGTCCTGAACATCTCAGTGGCTTAGTAGGGCCTCTCTTTGGGTACTTTTCTGAGTGTGTAAAGAAATCTGTTATCAACTCAAAGACCTGGAAAGTTCTCTGGCCTGCACTGAGAGCTCCGAACCTGTGCTTGGGGCATCTGGCTTTAGACCTGACCCCACCCCCTCTGGGCTACAGAGCTACACTGTCTCATAAAAACAGAAAAAGGATGTGCATGGTATTGTGTGACTTTAATCCAGGCACCCAAGAGGCAGAGGCAGGCAGACCTCTGTAAGTTTGAGGCCAGCCTGGTCTACATATTGAATTCCAGGCTAGCCAGAGCTGTTGCATGATAAAATCTTGCGGGTTTTTTGTTTGTTTTGGATTGGTTTGGGGGGGTTAGTTTGTTTTGGGGGTTGTTTGTGTTTTGTTTTGTTTTTTCAAGACAGGGTTTTTCTGTATAACAGCCCTGGCTGTCCTGGGACTTGCTTTGTAGAGCAGGCTGAGTTCTGGGGTTAAAGGTGTTGCCACCTTTAAAGGCAGCGTGGCTCTTTGTAGGGAGGTTAGGCTAGGGCTGGCCCTCCTTTGCCTTTCTTCTCATCTCATTCGGCCCTTGGGATAAGCCATGACACCCACAGCACTTTAAACGAAGCTAATGGCCTAATATGAAGAGACAAGACAGGCATTGTAGCCAGTGAGTTAAACATAACCAGAAGACTGGTTTTGTGAAAACCTGAGCCATTTTCAATATTTCAGAGCCTTAGAGACAAGGGCCTCATAGAGAGATCTCACACACTAGGAAACTGAGGAACAGTGAGGCAGGAGGATCTTTAAGTCCCTAGCCTCTCTGAATTGCCATAGACTTCACAGTGGAAGGCCTTGAGGACTCTTGTTTTGCACGTGGAAGATAAAGCGCTAAGACTGAGCTTCCCTGAGACGGTTGACATGAGGTTGGGTGCTTCTGGGCACAGACTCTACACTAGCTCTAGGGTCAGATGCTTGAGCAGAAATGGAGGCCCATTCATGTCCCGGTCCTAAAATTCTTAGGTTATGAGGCTCAGCAGTGTAGCAGGAGTTCTCAAGTCTAGATTCATCTGTTGCAGGACTTGGGTGGTCTTAAGATAACCAGTTAGTTCTGACACAGCCATCCAGGTACAATCTTTTGATTTTGGGGCTCTTTTGATCCATCCACCGGCTTTACGTAAGGTCAGACTTAGCTATGCTTCATAGCCACAGTGGTTTCCTTCTCCCCAAAGAGGTTTTTCCAGCAGCACCAGACGAGACAAGGGGGAGATGCTGAGAGCCCATGTTTCCTTCTCAGAAACCCTGTGTCTCCCCCGTTCACACACTCCCTTGCCCCTCTCCTGTGAGCTACCGACAAACTTCCGCAGAGTCAACTCATGAGCCCCACTGGTTCCTGCCGCAGGCTGAAGACTGACATGAGCAACCTGGCTCCTACCGTCCGTCACCTCTCAGGGTACCTCAAGCAAGCCAAAGGCCGGACACGCACAGCCATCCGCGTCGGGCAGGTGTGGGAGCAGTCTCTAAAAAGACTGAGGAGGATGGTGCCCTTGACCAATGTCACAGGTACAGACAGTTCACTAGCCCTCTAATGACAGGGAGGGACCATGAGTACAGACAGAGCCCACCAAAAGCTGCTAGGGACTATCTCCACCAAGAGGCGTGTCTGTCTTCCTTCTTAGTTAAACCCAAAGGCCACACTGGCAGAGCTCAGAGGGCCTTCAGGGACAGCTAAGCCAATGTCCCTTTTGCAGATGAAAGAACTCGTGACAAGGTTATAATGTCAACTGATAGAGAAGGAACATTTGTGCTCAGTGTGTTGTGACAGTTTGTAAGTGACTGCCTGGAGGAAATGCCAAAGTCAATAAACAGGGTTTCTGGCCCCAGACCAGGGTCCTCACTACTGCAGATGGAGAGGAGCTGTAAGCCACCAGTGTCATATGAGATTGCTCTCACGAGGTGAAACTTCTAGCCTGTTCTGGGGAACACTGAACTGTCACCTCTAGTCTGACCCCCTGCCTGTTGGCAGTGTCTCAGAACTCCGCCCTGTTTGGGTTTCTCTTCTGTTTCAGGCCAAGGCCTGGACTTGACTTCGCTCTCTTGGGAAGTGGGCTGTGGTCACCCGGCTCCGACAGTGACTTGCAACATAAGCAACCCTTACCGGACCATCACTGGAGACTGTAACAACAGGTGACCCTACCAGCCACCACTCCAGCAAGCATCTCTGCCCCTTGGGCTTTGCAGGCACAACTACTGGATCCCTTTAAAGATCCCTCATCTCCAGTGAGGTCACTGTGACCCACTGGGAGCGGCCCTTTCCATCGAGCAGACAGTCCCATGTCCTGGGCTTGGGAAAATGCAGACCCCCACAGGGCCCCTCCTCCGCATCCTCTTTCCCTCCTGCAGAGCTCAGGTTAAGGGTACCAGGGTGAAGGCAGGGTACCATGAGGTCACCTGCCAAAGCTCAGAGCTGTCTTGCTGGGTTTCAGGAAGAATCCAGAGCTGGGATCCGCCAACAGGGCGCTGGCTCGATGGCTGCCCGCAGAGTATGAAGACGGGCTCTCCCTCCCCTTCGGGTGGACGCCAGGGAAGACGCGGAACGGCTTCCCTCTACCGCAGGTGAAGAAGGGCGGGGCACAGGATGGGAGGCAAGGAACCACACACAAGACACAGCACCCAAAAAGGAAAAGGGGAGGCGCAACTCAAATTAGGACTTGCACCCTAGCGATATGTTCCCCGAACCGCCACGAGAGGGCGGCAGAGCCCGGGGCCCAGCCAGGTGGTGGCGGTAATGTCCCAACTGTCACAGGCCTGATACCCTGGGGTCTCCCAGGCAGATGGTTTCCTCTCTCTATTCTACTTGCGCCTATCCTGCCCCAGCCCCTGGAGTGCACCAGCTGTCGTTTTACTGCAGGTCTGATCTGTTGCCCTCATCTGAGCTGGCAGTCCCTCCCCAGGGTCCTTCTTCCCATGCCCAGAAACCTGGCACGTCTGTCACAGGCATGTCAGCATCAGCCTGCCTTGGCTTTCTCTCTCCATAGTAAGGACGTTTGACCATTGTCCAGTCACACAGACGTAGGTTCAATCCCATCCTACCCCTTTGTAGCTGCATTGACTCCCCTCTCTAAGGCCGGGTCCTCATCTACAAAGTTACCATTCACCCCTCCTCGTTGGGGATTGCATTGTAGATTCCCTAACAATCTGTGGTAGGATCTGACGCCGCAAAGCATGCTTTCCTCCAGCCTGACTCCCCTCCTCTCTACCTGCAGCCCCGTGACGTCTCTAACCAGGTCCTTGACTATCTGAATGAGGAGGAAATTCTGGACCAAAACAGATCTCTGCTCTTCATGCAGTGGGGTCAGATCGTGGACCACGATCTGGACTTTGCCCCTGAAACTGAGATGGGGAGCGACAACTACTCCAAAGCCCAGTGCGATGAACTCTGCATCCAGGGAGACAACTGCTTTCCCATCATGGTAGGCCTCTGCCTCCAGGTAGATGTCCCTGACGCCCCGTGCAGCTTCCAGTGTAGCACACACTTCCAGCCCAAAGATCAGGACCTCTTGATCCTGACGTCACAGCTCCCCATCCACTCATAGGCTCATCCATCCACTCAGTAATCAGACAATAAGAACCTACTCTGCGCCAGGGAAAGGCGCAAGCACCAGGGATTCAACGGCAAGATACTGTGTTTGCGCTCAAGAGCAGCAGGCTGGCATAGAAACGAGCACGCGAACTATTGACAGGATTAGGAAGTCTGAGCTCGTCTATATCACCCAGCAGCATCTAAGTCTCCGGGGGGATTTATTAGAAACCCAAAATCTCAAGGCCCCACCCATGTTGGGAGATAGAATCTGACTTTTATCAAGACATATCCATCTGTCCCACCCACCCACCACCTTTCAGCCATGGGATTCATCCTATGCTTGGTTTATGGAAGTCTGCTGCATGTTGCCCTTTCCCCGAAGGAGCTGGAAGCAGATTAGTGACTCAGTGAGCAGCAAGGATATGGAATGCCCAGCAGGAGAGGGATTTGCAATAGTCTCCTCGTCTTAACCATAGAGTTTGCATTTACAGAGTTATTTGTTTACTCGACAACAAATCAAGACTGGGTTGTGGTGAAAAAAAAAAACACAAACAAACAAGCAAAACAAAAAAAAGAAAAAAACTGCACCATGAACTGAGGCTGATCCAGACTTGAGTCTCACATTTTTCCCTCCTAGTTTGTGGGTGCTGAGGCAAGTTAATTTATTGACACTGTTTCTCATGTGTAAGAGACTCACAGGCTCTCTGGGGGACAGAATGAGGTGAAGTATGCATCCAGGCTGGCACGTGGAATTCCATGGTTGCTATTTCAGGACTAATTACTAAGGCTCATGTCATACATTGCTTGCCTGTCTGGGGCTCTCAGGAAATCCTGCCATTTCAGAGCTCTTGCTGTGAAAGAATGAATCATTATTTTCTGTTCTTGCACATCAGGGTATAATGAACTTTGGAGTGTTATGGGCCCAGGAAGTATAATGTCAGAAGGAGGCATCTAGGGCCAGTGTCTGGCAAAAGTCCCACAAGAGTGCGTGAACATCTTTTCTACCAGACTGACCCTGGGGAGGGTGACCAGGGGACAGATGTTTGGTCCTCATGCAGTCATTTCCCAAACCATCTCTCTACAGTTTCCCAAGGGTGACCCTAAATTGAAGACTCAGGGGAAATGCCTGCCTTTCTTCAGAGCTGGATTTGTCTGCCCTACATCACCTTACCAATCCCTGGCCCGAGAACAAATCAATGCTCTAACTTCTTTCATGGATGCTAGCATGGTGTATGGTTCTGAGCCAAGCCTGGCAAATCGACTTCGAAACCTCAGCAGCCCCCTGGGTCTCATGGCTGTCAATGAAGAGGTCTCAGATCACGGACGGCCCCTCCTGCCTTTTGTCAATGTGAAGCCCAGCCCCTGTGAGGTCATCAACAGAACGGCTGGCGTTCCCTGCTTCCTGGCAGGTAAGTCGAGTCTGGGGAAAAAGAAAGGGGCTAAGGGACAAAGGGATCATCCAAGGAAGCTTCTCCGTCCCAGCACCTTTCCAGGACAATGCCCCAAGCCTCCACTATCTGCAGCACTGAACAAGGAGTAGAGAAAGGGCCCAGATAAGTGTTCACTGCAGAACAAAATAAGTCCAGAAAAAGACACAAAGAAAACCCACATATCCCCGTCATCCACCAAAGTTAGTCATTAGTATTTTCATATAAATCTTCCTTGTGTTCCTTGGGTATAGTTCTAGCCCAGCTTGGTGGTACAGTTCCATAATCCCACCATGTCCCTCGTCTGTCGCTCTCCACCTGATTTCCTTTAGACTTCCTTGAAGGAGGGGCTTTGGAGAGAGTCCTGGGGGCTCCATCTTTCTGTGTGCAGGTTCCTGTTCCTGGTCCCGCTTAGAAAGAACCCATCTTCCTGCCTTTTGGACTTTTAGGAGACTCCCGCGCCTCGGAGCAGATTTTGCTGGCCACATCCCATACGCTGTTTCTCCGGGAGCACAACCGACTGGCCAGAGAGCTGAGCAGACTCAACCCCCAGTGGGATGGTGAGAAGCTCTATCAGGAAGCCAGGAGAATCATGGGAGCCCTCATACAGGTACGGAGAAGGAGCACCTGCCACTCGGAGCCGCCTGCGCCAGCTCCCACCTCTGCTGTCTGTGCAGCAGCTCCAGCTGCCTGCTGTTCCCACACTCTTCCTCACTCCTTCCTCTCCTGCGCCCCTCTCCAAGCACCTGATCAGCTCCCTGCTTTAAAACATACCCCACGTTCCGGATGTGGGGAGTCATCCATGTGTGGTCCTCCATGAGCCTGCCCCGTTCCCATCACTGCACCCACAGGTTCTCTCACGATTGAGGCTCTTCCCTTGCAATGACTTCAGCTATTTTCATTTCTCTTCTTCTTGAATTCTCTCTCTGTAAGCTACATGCCATAGACATTCTTGAGTTTGGATTGCTTTATCAACTAACTGAAAGAACTGTGTGTGTGTGTGTGTGTGTGTGTGTGTGTGTGTGTGTGTGTGTGTGTGTGTGTGTGTGGTGGGTTGGTTGGATTTTAAGATAGGGTCTCATTTAGCCCACACTGACTGTGACCTTCCGATACTCCAGCCTCTTCCTTCTGAGCTCTGAGCTCATGAGTGTTCAACATCGTATCTGGGCGCTAAGTAGATACGATCCCCAGGGTCTGCTGGAGGTTCTGTATTAGCCTATTTTCTCCTGTTGTGTGGGTGACTAACTTCAGCTCATCTTTCCCATGTCTAGCCTCTGTTATTTCCACTCCACTGCTGAGTGGACTCAAGCTTATTATTCCTGTATTATTACTATTATTTCAAGTAGTGCATTTTCAATTCCATAATTTTGTTACTTTTTTACTTTTAAAACTTCTTTGCTGAGATGATTCCCTTTCCCACCGGTTTCAGGAAAACCTGTATTCTGATGAGGCATCTTTAAGATGGTGACTTTAAAATCGTTATCAGCTGTAGGCAGGGCTGCATCTCAGTGGCAGAGTGCAGGCCTAGACAGTCAAGGCTCTGGGTTCAATCTGAAACACTGCAGCAAATAAATTACACACTATGTGTTTGTCCGCGTGCTTGGGGTATGCATATGTGTCTGGGGGTTTGCATGTACATATGTGTATGTGGAGGTCAGAGGTCAGACTCCCTCATGTGTCATTCCTTCAGAAAACTAAGCACATACTTTAGCTTGGAACTTACACAGTAGGCTAGGCTGGCCGGCCCACAAGCTGCAGGGATCTACCTGCCTCTGCCTCCCCAGCTCTGTGTTCTGGGGAGCAAAGCAGGTCTTTGTGCTTGCAAAGCAAAGCGTTCTGCTGACTGGGCCATCTCCCCAGGGCTGCATAAACTCCTTATGAACTAACTCATCTGACTCCTGTCACTATTGGCATCAGTTGATGCATTTTCTCACTCAAACTGCGGTTTTCCTGGCTCGAAGTATTACTGAACATTCCAGTGACTTTAATACTATCTGAATCTTTGCTCTAGCTTGTCTTTACCCTGCTGAGGTCTAGCACACAGGTTCTAGTCTGCTTTTGTTTCCGTTCCAGTGACAGCTTGGTTCCAGGTCCTTCCAGTGCCCAATGGTCCTCTTCATTCTTCCAGTGCATATGAACTTCCCATTCCATTCCTGCTGGTGCTGATTCAGGGCTCCAAAGTTGGTTTTTTCTGGCTCTCTGTTGTTGCTAAGCAACCTCCTATAGAAGCAGAAGCCACCATGCCTGGGTCTCCTTGGTGAGGAGCCAAGGGTGAGAGGAATCAGTGTTCCACTGCCCCCCAGAAGGCTGAGATGGTCTGTCACCTGGACTGAGGAGCAGGGAAGCTTGGCTGGGCTCTGGAGGGCTTGTGTGTGAGGTAGGGGTTGGGGCTCTCTGCTAGTCTGCACAGGGTTTCCCTGGCCCTTAGTCTCTGAAAAGAGCAGACATAACTTGGCTTCTTTCTGCATGTCTCTGTTAAGCTTCTGCAACCAGTCCTGTCTGGGGATAGAACTCACCACATGGTCATTCCTCAAATTCTGGGTTCCCCAGATAGTTCATATTCTTTTTCTAGCTTTCAGAGTATCTTCTTGAAGTTTTAACTTATGTGTATCTTTATGTAGTCCACAGGGGGTGTGAGGTCCCCTGGAGTTACAGATGGCTATGAACCTTCTGATGTGGGTGTTGGAACTGGACTCAGGTCCTCCAGGAGAGCAGCAAGTGCTCTTAAGCACGGAGCCTCTCTCCGGTCTCACTAGTCTCCTGTTGCACAGGCTGACCTCAGACTCCCTGTGTAGACAAAGCTGACCTCCAACTCCCAATCCTCATGCCTCACACCGCCAGCCCTGGGATTAGAGGTGTGTATCACCACAGCCATGTGGTATTGTTGCTGTCGTTTTAGAGTTGTTTCTTTGAGTTGGAAATAGCAGTCTCACTCTGTAGACCAGGCTGGCCTCAAACTCACAGAGATCTGCCTGCCTCTGCCTCCCGAGTGCTGACGTTAAAGGTGTGTGCTACCAACACCTGGCTGGCTAGGACTTCTTATTGGCTAGCTCTGTCTTACTTATTAACCCATTTCTATAAATATATATATATATATTTCCACGTGGTCTTGGCTTCCCAGAGAATGCCTGAACCTGTTACTTTGGTGGCTACATGGTGTCTCTCCGAGGTCTATCTCTGCCTACCTTTCCCAGAATTCTCCTCGTCTCTTGATCCCACCTATCTTCCTGTCTCTATTGGCCAAACAGTGTTTCATTCATCAACCAATAAGAGAAACATATATCCAGAAGGGCATCCCCATCAGAGCGGGGAGGAAAATAAGGCTATACCACCCTGTTCTAAAACAAAAAGGCACTCATCTTATTTTTAATTATAAGGGTGATCTATTTCCATATAAAATATTAGAGCCAGAAATCCTGTTGCTAAAGCACAGAGCATTAAATTGAAATGACCAGTTAGTATAACCAATGTGAAGACAATCATGAGAAATAGATGAAAGGATGCCAGGATTGATTAGCAATGTCTGCCATGGTCATAGGAATGGAAACTGGTTACAAACGCTATCCATTTGCCACTCTCTTGGCAGCTGTTCCTCTATAGCCTCCCATTGCAGAGAGGAGAGGTTTCCACCTTCTCATGTCCTTTCCTCACGACTTGTGTCTCCCTTCAGATCATCACCTTTAGGGACTATCTCCCCATCCTACTGGGTGATGAGCTACAGAAGTGGATACCCCCGTACCAAGGCTACAAAGAAACTGTAGACCCGAGAATTTCCAATGTCTTCACCTTTGCTTTCCGCTTTGGCCACCTGGAGGTCCCCTCGACTGTGTCCCGCCTGGATGAGAATTATCAGCCATGGGGTTCAGAACCTGAGCTCCCCCTGCACAAGCTCTTCTTCAACACCTGGAGGGTGGTCAAAGATGGTGAGTCTTCTCAGGGAGGTGCCCTTGCCTGGGTCCTCTCATTCCACAACCAGCTTATAGGGACCCCTGGCATGAGAGTCACCTTCCAGACACTTCCTGTGTGACCTTGGACAAGGGAATTCGTCTCACCGAGCCTTAATTTCCTTGTTTGTAAAACGAGGGCAACAACAGAGCCTATGTCATTGGATAGCAAATGAAATGAGATAGGTGTGTAGCACACCCTATTGTAATTCCCAACACACAGGAGTGTTTAGTAAGTAATAGCCATTACATACAGCTGGCTTCCTACTTGGGTAAGACTCTTCTGTCTTTTCCTACCTTAGGCGTTGCTGCACTCTGAAAACAGAATTTGTGAGCTTGGCGAATTGTTCTGTTCTACCTCCATGAGGTGCTATAGGCTGGGTGCAGCTTTCTTATCCCTCAGTCAAAACTGACCTTCCTTCAAGCTTAACCAGTCGGGGCTGTTCCCTGAAGATATATGGTCCTCTTCCTCTAGGGCAATGTGTGGGAAATGAAGGAGCTGACTCCATGAACTAAAACATTAAAAAAAAAACTCTTGCTATTCATTCACCCTTCAGGCCGTGAGTGACCTTTTCTGTCACCTCAGAAACTGTAGCCTGGACTCCTCCTGCCCTGGGACAAAGGGAAGGCTGCATTGTGCTCTTCTCTTCCCACCTCCAGCCAGAACTACCTGGTCATTCCCGTTTCCTATTGAGAGAAGGTATCAGGGCAGAGAGGGCCCAGCACGGAAGATGCCCTCCCCTATTCCTATCTAAGAATGGCCTTTGGTGTCCCTCTGCAGGTGGAATTGATCCTCTGGTTCGAGGCCTGCTGGCCAAGAAGGCCAAACTGGCGCATCAGGATAAAATGATGACGGGGGAACTCCGCAACATGCTGTTCCAGCCGAATCACACCGTTCACGGCTTCGACCTAGCTGCCATCAACATACAGCGCTGCCGAGACCACGGACAGCCTGGTGAGTGGGTCTAAGGGCTCAGTTGGTCTGGAGAACTTTTTGGCTACCTTCTGAGGCTCCTGGACACTCTCCTCTGGAACTCCAAGGAGCCAATTAATCCTAATGCTAGAGACAAGCCCATTTTAACGAGCCTTATGAGACATCCAGGAAACGGAATCTTCTGCTTTCCTGGTGCAGAGACGTGAGTTATCTTAGTGTCACAGAAGAGAACAAGAGCAACAACTCACACATCAAACCAGTTTAAAAGCCCAGAAGCGCCAGATGTGGTGCTATCAGCACACAATCCCAGCACCCCAGAGACCCCGGCAAGAAGATTGTCCACTCCAAGTTAGCATGAGTTCCGCAGAGAAACCTTCACAGAGAGAAGGAGGGCAGGGGAGGATGAAGGGAGGGGAGGAGGGAGACCTGGTGGAGTTTGTATTTGCACACATGAAAACCAGTTTCGCTGTTACTAAGAGCTAGGCTGCTTGATTTCATTTGCTAGTTGTCTGGATTGCTCCTGTCCTCTGCTATGATACTATACCTGGCAAACACGACTGAAGGATGGGCTTAAATTGGCTCAGGGTTTGAAGGTACGGTCAGCCCGTCCTGCAGGGAAGGCATGGTGTCGGCCACATGAGACAGTTGCTCGCAGTGAAGCCGTGGTCAGGAAGTAGCAGGAGATGGATGCTGGTGCCTTCCTATTCATGTTCAGTCCACAGGCTGCCGCTGCCCGTGTTCAGGGTGGACCTTCCCACCGCAATTAACCCTATTGAGAAACTCCCTCTTGAGCATGTCCAGAGATGTCTCCAAACACAGCCTAGGTCTTGTCACATTGACAGTCAGTATCAACAATCACACTGGTTATAGGACTTGAGTCGAGTTCCAGCATCTTTGCTCTTATTGTTTGCACGGCACTTGGTACAGTGCCTGGACCCATAGCAAGTCTCGGGTAAGGTGTCAACACTCGCCCAAGACTGAAGAGCCACAGATGAAAAGACATGCAGCATGTTTCCCTTGTCCTAAAAGCTCTGATCCCAGACCTTCCCAGCTTCTGGAGGTAGAGTGCTTTACATCCCCAAGGGAGAACACAAGGGACAAGGTCCTGGGATGAGCCAGCCCTATCTTCCTTCCCCTAGGGTACAACTCCTGGAGAGCTTTCTGTGGCTTGTCACAGCCAAAGACCCTAGAAGAGCTGAGCGCTGTGCTGAGAAATGAGGTGCTGGCCAAGAAGCTGATGGATCTCTATGGAACCCCTGATAACATTGATATCTGGTTAGGGGCCATCGCTGAACCCCTGGTCCGCAGGGGTCGGGTAGGGCCTCTGCTGACCTGCCTCCTGGGTCAGCAATTCCAGCGGATCCGAGATGGGGACAGGTGAGTGGGATCACTGTCTGGGCCAGGGTCAGCCCTTCCCTCCCTTAGGCAGGGTCCCCAATGTGCTTCGTGAGGTCTGACTCCACACCTCACCCTAGGAGGGGTTTTCTGCGTTCCCAAGGGTGTCCTATGGCAGTGCGGGGAGCAGCTAGCCACTGGACTGTGTGACACGACCCTGCTCCATCCCTGTAGGTTCTGGTGGGAGAACCCTGGGGTCTTCACAGAGAAGCAGCGGGACTCTCTACAGAAGATGTCCTTTTCGAGACTGGTCTGTGACAACACTGGCATCAACAAGGTCCCGCTGAACCCATTCCAGCCCAACAGCTACCCCCACAGCTTTGTGGACTGCTCTGCTATCGAGAAGCTTGACCTCACCCCCTGGGCCTCAGTGAAGAAGTAGGAACCTCCTGCCCACGGCTTCCTACACGGCAGATGCCCGTGGTCCAAGATGTCATTTCAAACAAGTTCAATAACCTGTTCCTTTCAAGTTGGGCACCCAAGTTCATTTCTCACACCCTCCAGATAATGATCAGAGGCCACCTCAGCCTTTCTTGCTCTCCCACTCAGGTCCCACCACTTCTAAGCCACCGTCACAGCCTGTGGAAACCACCTGCTCAAGACGCCCCTCCGGCTTGTCAGGTGTCACCTGCCCTCTGCATGAATGAGCACTGGCTGAAGCTGTGACCTCTGACCTTTATGTTTCCTCCTCTCCTCCAGACTAGAGGACAAGTACCCTGAGCCAGAGACTGTCACCTGCTTCTAGGTGTGGCTTGTGGCACTCAGCATGGCGTTCATACAAAGGGCTCAATAAATATCCAACTGTTCCTTCCCAGGGGCAGGCTTTGCAACCACTGCATATGAGTAACTACATGTTTAGAGTCAGACGTGTCTTGTTGCTAAGAGGTCCTGGGCATCAGTCAGTCTGCTGGGGAAGATCAGTAACTGGGTGAGAGGCTAGAGCTCTCAAAGCAGGGAGGAGGTGAGGGACGATGCCACAGAGCAGTAAGAGTGAGCTTGGGGTGACACTGCTGTGGGTACCACGGGTAACCAAGCCTGGATTTCCCAGGAACTAAAGCTGATCTTGTCAGTCATCTAAGAAACACCCTGTTCGGCCTGGACAGTCCTTGGAGTCTGTCAAGCTTCTGGAGCGATGGCTCCAAAGCATTCACTGTTCTGTGGCCCAATGTGTATTTACACAGCCTTTCATTTTTTTTCATAAGGTCTAACTTTATGTCTTAGGTGGACGGTGAACAGACTATGTAGCCCAGAGTAGCCCCAAATTCTCTGTCCACCTAAATTTAGATGATTTCAGCCTTCTTAGTGCTGCAATATACTGCCATGGCCTGGCTGGTAGCCTTTAAAAAAACAAAACAAAACAAAACGAAACGAAACAACCCTCCTGGGGCTGGAGGATGGATCAGGGGCTACTCTCTCAGAGGACTCTGGTTCCATTCCCAGCACCCAAATTGCTGCTCTCAGCTGCCTGAAATGCCAGTCCCAGAAGATCCTCTGCCCCCTTCTGGCCATTGAAAGTACTGCATGAGTGTGGCCTCTAGGCACAGTGCAGGCAAAATACCCATGATGTAAATAAACGAAAATCTATAAATAATAAATAAATAACTGAGACCTTTCGATGTACAAGACCCTAACTCAATACTAGCACTCTAGAAATTAAATAGCTAATGAACAGGTTAGTTGGCTAATTAATCGACTAATCAAATTTACCCTTGTCAGGCCAGATGGTACAGGAGAATCATGAGGTCAAGACTGACCCATGCTACATAGCAAGTTCAAGGTCAGCCTGGTCAACTTAGCAAGACCTTGTCTCAAATAAAAATGGACTGGAGACGGAGCCCAGTGGCAGAGGGCTTGCCTGTTACACACGGGGCCCTGGGTTCCATACCAGCATCACAGGGGGAAGTAGCCAACAGGCAAAGACCAAGCAATCAGAGACTCGTTTCCCCATCTTTGGAGATTCCTGGGGCAGCCTTTGATCATAACCTTGTTCTGCAACCCTCCCCACACCAGCCTGGGATGAGGCTCCCATCTGCGAGCGCACCTCTCCTCCTCAGTAAGTTAGAGAGGGGAGGACTGGTCCTGTTGCTCCCCACAGTGAGCCTTCTTTACCTCACCATCAGCTCCCTCGACGTATGTGAAAAGCCAGGAGAGGAGAAGGTGCATGCCAACCCGATACAGGCCAGCTGTTGGCAAGACCACTGACCAGACACTTCCCTCCCTTCCCGGGATACTGAGGTCTGAACAATGGAAGCCTGGCATGCAGAGACATCTGCCCCCTTGAGGACCCCTGAGCCACTCACTGTGCTAGTCTTCAGGGACACAGGGGCCTCCACTCTTCAGGCAAAGCCTTCCCAGACCTCAGCTTTCCACCCCCCTGGATCTCACTTTCTCCCTCTCCTTCCCAGAGTCTGGGTCGGAATGAGAAAACAGTGAACATGAGCCAGCAAATCTCAGGGCGTGGCCGCCACATTGCTGCTCCACACAGTGGTAGAGGAGGGGGGTGAGGGATGAGTGTCTGCTCTGTGTGGCCTGCCCTCCGAGCTCTAAGACCTAGTTGCCCTCCACACGTGCGCTAGCCAGGGAAGGGCTTCCCAGCACCATCGCTCTAGAAACACAGGGCGACAGATCACACGGGGTCAAGTTCACCGGCCAGAGGGAGCCTCCCCCTGAGGCTGCAGCCCAATCGCAGACACAGAACAGATCCCGTCCAGTGATTTATTCGTGCAGACTTCAGCTACAAACAAATGGTACAGGAAAGCCGATGACCTTAGTTCTCCTCCAGACAGACGCCTGTGAATAGCAAAAGAACAGAGTAAGGAAGAAGGAGACACCATGGGCTGAGCCAGGCTGGCCTAGGCCCAGAACATAACCACACAGGAAAACAGCCAACTGCATCCCTCCAGAGGCCACCTCCTTGGTTCCACTAACCAGAATATGGTCAAGGACTTGGCATTCATTATTTTGCCTCTGTTACCCATGCCTAGTACAGTGTCGGGCACATAGTAGGTGCTTAGTGAGTGGAGAAATGGAGGATGCAATAGGCCCCCTAACAAGCCATGGCTGCTTTTATTTGTAAGGAAAAGAATTCAGACTTAGATTAATTTGCTCCAATTATAGTATATGCTGCAGAGTTTAGACTTGACCCAGTCTGCTGGCTGCCTCCCGTGTTCTTATTATTGTCATAAGCAGTAAGCACAGACTCATGTGATTGACATACATACGGTACATGAGACAATTCCCATGCTCACAGACAATACACACATGAAATGGTAATGTACTTATGTTGCATATACAGACATGTACAAGCATCTATGCAAACACACATGCACACACACACAAGGGAATATCCAGTAATTTCTTTTTTCAGTTGGCACCCACAACATTCTCACTTAGGGAGGAGTTCCCTGTGGTCCCCATTGGCCAACCAACCACACCCTTCAGAATGGCATGCCCTTACCCAGGCTCTAAGCCTCCCTCCAGGAAGCCAGGTTCAGCTTAGGGATGGAGGTACAGTTGACAAAGTCTCGTGGGTATGAGTTGGACATGAAGATGTTGTTCTTGGACACGGTGGTGATTCCAGTGTTGTCACAGATGATGCGGGGCAAGGAGATGCTGGCCAGGGCCTGTCTCTGCTGTGCACTGAACACACCTGGATTCTCCCACCAAAACCTATGGGAGCATCATGGACACCATGTCTGAGGATGTCCCAAGAGACAGTACCCTAGGCTGGGAGGACATCACGTGGCTTGAGCTGCCTCCTGAGTGTGACAGGGCCACAGAAGATTCTGCTCCACAGCTCAGGAGAGCTCAGGAGAGCACGGAAGACACTTGCAAGGCTACTTGGTTATGTCCCTTGCTCCCGCCCAGCACTCTGGGCCCTGTGTCATCCATACAACCACAAGGGTAGAAGGGAATCTGTGCAGCATTTGGCATTTGCTCTCCTTGATAGAGACACAGTTTTATAGTATTCTCAAAGGTGCCATGTGAGTTAGATAAGAACCAGACACAGAGATAGTCAGGACCATGATGGAATGACATCAAAGGGAGACAGTGGGAGAGCGAAACCGTGACTATCCCGTGGTGACCGGCAGCTCCATAGTAACACTGAGAAACCCAGAGGAAACGTTAAGAGTGGCATTTTGAGAACAACAAGATGGTTCAGTGGTTAAAGGCACTTGCCTACCGCCAAGGCTGGCAGGCTGAGTACATCGCTGAACCTCACATGGTGGACCCAACTCCTGAAAGTTGTCCACGTGAGAGCTGTGCCTGTACCTGCCTCCCAGCCCCGCATGTGTGGGCCACCCTGCCAGCCTGTGGCTTCCTTACCGATCGCCGTCACGTAGCTTCCTAAACTGGGTGCCAATAAGACAGGCAAGGAGTTGACCTACTCGGCCATTGGGCTCCAGGGGTTCAGACACGCCACCCATCCAGATGTCGATGTTGTTGGGTGTGCCATACTGTGCCATCAGCTTCCGTGCCAATTCCAGGTTCCTTAGCACCGTGCCAAGCTCGCCCACTGTGCTGGGCTGTGGAAGGCCACAGAAGCGCCGCCAGGCATTGTATCCTGCATGGGGTCAGAGAACAGGTGGCTGTAAAGGGGCCCCTGTCCTGCAAAGTAGAGTGAGTAGTGGGAACAGCAGGGGAGCTCTATAAACGTTCAAAGGCCCTCACCAGTACACAGACCATAAGCAGAATGGATCCCTGAATGAATGAATGACTGGCTCAGACCAAAGCGGACATCTGGGAGTCTCCAGAACTTTCATTCTTTTTTCCTTTCTCCCTCACTCTGAGGCAAGCCCTATATTGCCACAGGTCCTGCCAGATCAAGCATGGAAACAGCATATTGACCCTTAGAACAGCCCGATGCATCTCTCTCTGACCCAGAGAGTGAAAGTGGGTCTGGAGGTGTGGTCATTGTGCTTCTCCACAACACAGGCATGGGCTTTGGGGTTAGGATGATCCACTTGGGTCCAAGCTCCAGCTCTGTCACTGAATTGGCTACATCACCTAGCCAGGCTCTGAGCCTCTAAACCCTAGTTTCCTAATCAGCAAAATGCCAGTGGTATCTCCTGCCCTCGAGTTCATGAATGAGTCAGAAGGAACTGATGAAGGAGATTTCCAGATCATAGAACGACTCCTTCTTCAGCTGCTAGTGCAGGATACAAGAGCCCGGCTCGTGAAGAAGCCAAGAGAGGCTGAAATTTGGCTATGAGAGCCTGAAAGCAGAGCCTGGCCTCAGGTGCCTCCTGAGAGTTGGAGAAAGGGCCCTGGGAGGTGGGTGGGGCTGGGGCTGGCCCTCACCTGGGAGGCCATGATCCCTGCTGCGCTGCATGTTCAGAGCCGGCAGGTCCAGCCCAATCCTCATGACCTGCTCAAAGAGTCGCTCCCGGATCTCATCCACCACAATCTGATTCTGGCGGTTCAGCTTGGCAGGGGTGGCCATGAGACCTCGGAGGATGGGGTCAATGCCACCTGGGCGCCGTCGAGCAAGATGAAAGGAAGATTAGCTTGCTATCAGATTCCAGGCACAGTCTAAGGTTCAGAGAAGAGGTCTAGGCACATGCAACACCTGAGGCCTAGGTGGCCCCAGTGAGCAATCCTCAGCAGCTACTCTCTGACCCTAGGGTTCACAAGGTTGAGGTGATCCCAGCCCTAACGTCCTGGGGCAATGAACTGCAAAACCAGGCCAGATCCCATAAAAGGAAAGGGAAAACTTCTCCCCAGCCTGGCTCCCCAGCACCACCCACGCCATCCCACCCTCCGCTGCTGGCCTCTCTCAGCTTCCACTCACCTTCCAGCACAACTCTCCAGCTGGCAAAAAAGACCTTGC